TGGGTGTTGAGGTTGGTTGGCTCGCCGAGCTGGTTCGTTGTTCCGCAGACGTTTCATTACCGTGTTTGGTAACATCCTCAGTGCAGCCTCCGATGAAGCGTCGGTGTGTTTTCCAGCCTGTTTTTTAAACTCTGGGGTCCGTTGCGATGGATTGCCTCATTTCCGGGTTTCCTCCATAGTGGAACGTATATGGGGTCGAGTTCAATGTGTTTATTAATAGCCTGCTTCGTGGAGTGCCATGCTTCCAGGATTTCTCGTGCTTGTCTTTGCCTAGCCTGTCCCAGGATCTTGGTGTTGTCCCAGTCGAAGTCATGGTTCTCCTTGTCCAAGTGGATTGAGATGAGTGAGTATTGGTCGTGTCTTTTTGTAGCCAGTTGTTGTTCATGTAATCTTGTTGTTAGTTTCCTTCCTGTTTGTCCGATGTAGTGTTTCTCGCAGTCTCTGCAGGGGATCTTGTAGATGACATTGGTCCTGTCCATGGCAGGGAGTGGGTCTGTAGTTCAGGTGAGCACTTGTTGTAGGGTTGACGTGGGCTTGTGTGCCACTCTGATGCCCAGCGGTCGTAGAAGTCTTGTGGTGAGTTCTGACGTGTTCCTGATGTAGGGCAGTGTGATGAGTGTGTCGGGACGTGTAGAATCTTTCTGATGCTGTTCCTGTAGGCATCTCCTGACCCAGTTCTTTGGATATCCATTATCCTTGAACGCTTGGAAGAGGTATTCCTCCTCCTCTTGGCGTAGTTCCATGTTGCTGCAGTGTGTTGTTGCCCTTTTAAATAGCGTTCGCACGCAGCTTCGTTTGTGTGTGCTGGGATGGTTACTATTGAAGTTCAATACCTGGTCTGTGTGTGTGGCTTTTTGGTGTACTTTCATTTGCAGTTCATGGTAGAGTGCAAGACAAATGGGGAACTGCAAACGAAAGTACACCGTGAGCTCAACAACTCTGTGAAGAGGAATAAATCCTGTGTGAAGTCAGATATAGATGGTGCATGCATTTCTGAAGGTGCAAAAGGGAGGAAGTTGTGTTTCCTGACCCACATGAGAATCTAGCCTGTCATGTTCAGAGATAATTCCTTTTAACATGATTTTGCTGTTGCTCGTAGGCAAGTCTATCCAATGGGATATTACATGAAACTGTCAAACTGGAGAGTTTAACCTGAATGGCCTAATCCTTATAAATAACTGGTGAAAGTCTTTTATCTTAAGTCAAGGAAAATTTGCTAAAAGTGAAATAGAGACTCCTTATTTTCAGCCGGTCAACAGTAAATGAATATTTGGATGTCTCTGGAAAAGAAACCTGTCCTTTAATTGTGCCCCTGACCTCTGGCCCATTGTTGGCCAACATCAGTTTCCAAGCTGGGAATGCAGCGTCATTGAAGTGTGAGGGCCATATCTTTTTTTTTATGTTTCTTTAAAAACTGAACTGAAATGAGAAAGAGATATTTTAAAAGCAGTGTTTGAAAGATTGGCTACAGTTTTGAAAAGACAGTAACCTGACAGCCATGACCAGCATCATGTAAACAATTGTTTGAAGAAACAGGAATTGAAGTTTGAGCTGCAGACCATTGGATGAGGATGTATACAGATGCAACTTTTGCTGGCAACAAGAAGTTGATTGGTCTATGGGCTAGTGACCGGTCATCAGTGACAGGAATCTTTTTTGCCTTCCATCCAGTGTGTGATTACATCTCCAGTAACTGCACAACTTGGAGCTGGGAACAAATTACAGCTAAAGACAGAGAGAAGTCTTCAATTCTTTCCCAGCTCAAGAGTGTTCTCTCTACTCTCTGCAGTCAAAACTCACTGTAAACCTGCAGAAAATCATTTTGTCCTTCCTGCAACGGTTGGCGCATGCTGTGACTTTTAAGTGATTCGTCAGAGAGATTTTAGAAATGAACCAACCACCTTTACTGGCTTAGCAACTAATGGAAGCATCCAGAGAAAGATGACTGAAGCCATGTGCTGCCCAGCAGAAGACTGATAAGGATCATCTCAATAATAGTTCACAGGAACAACAACTATTGAACCTCTTTCCAATGATTCCCCTCTGTCCTTAACCTATTTTACCCTCTCTGTTTGTGTGTGTGTGTGTGCATGTGTGTGTGTGTGTGCGCGTGTGTGTGTGTGAGAGGTGGAGTTTATAAGGGGATTAGAGTTTTACTTGGTAGTATTGTATGCCAAAGCTTTTATAATTGCTTACATGTAGCTAGAATCTAATTATTTGCAATAAATAGTCATTCTTGGTAAGGACAGAAACCTCGTCCGTGCTTTCTATTAACTGATCTGAAAGCCAAGTAAATCAAGGAACTTTGCCCACTTTATACAACCTTTAACATTTTACATCTGGGAGTAGTGGGGATCAATTTTCCACATGCTACATCAGTGGGTTATTAAAAAGCAACCCTTATAAATCAGACGATTCCCATTTGCGGGCTACATGATTGTCCTGGAGTCTTTTGCAATTAAAGAATGTTCACTGGAACACAGGTGCAAGTAACTGTGCAGTAAATTCATTAAGATAGTAAACAAAATATTATTTAATTCTCCTTGAAAACTTCAATTTATTAGTACCAAATAGATCTGGTTTCTCGTAAACTCCCAATAATAATTGCTCCATCATTGATGTCCATGCCTCAGTTACCTGAGTTCTGGAATAACCCCTCTAAACTTTTCTGCCTCTCAACTTCACCCTCCTCTTGTTAGTAACTCCTTAAAACCGATCAGTTTGACCAAGCTTTTGAACATCTAACCTAATGTCTCCTTATAAGATATGAACTAAGAGCAGGAAAAGGCAGGTCAGCCCCTCGAACTTAATCAACCATGGATTATGTAGCTTACTGCCGCCCTATGCCTTATAATGTTCCTGTGAAGTGACTGGGGATGTTTCATTATATATCATGTGCTCAAGACAAAAGGCTTAGAAACTCCTTCACTAACCTGGGAGCAACAACGACACCAGACCCCAGAATCAACACTGATGCTTTCAATTTGCAGTTCCTAATGAGCTTAAAGATGCCAGCCAGCAGGGGGGATAAGCAAAAAGTAAAGAAAAACCCAGGATACCAGTGACCTCCCTCCACAGAATTCGTGGCCCGTCACATATACTGATTGCTTTGCCCAGGACATTGGATAAACACTCCTTCATATAAATGGAGACTTCAACTGAATACTGCCAAGGCTGTTGTTTCCACCCTACATCTGAACAATTCAATGAATGGGTAAGAACTCTGGTCTTCCATTCATCCAAGACCGAAAACCAAACTATCCTGGCCATTCTTGACCATGCACTGATCTGGCAATGATACAGTTCCAGAACATCAGACGCAAGGTCAAGATGAGAGGCAATATGATGTAGAAATTGGCAGGTACCAAGTTGGGACAATAGACACTCAGCACTGAAACACTGACCCCGTTCCACCCAACAGCAGAGAGATGCTGCTCACCTCATGTTGGGAGCTCCACACAAACGTGGTAGGCATCCACCTCAGGGAAAACATGAGAATTGCTTCTCAGACATTGTACGATTGGGCCAAGCTAGATATTCCCTGGGATTTTGATGGGGGACAGTATAGAGAGAGCTTGTGCACCTTATCTAAGGAAAGATGTACTGACATTAGAAACGTTCCAGACAGGGTTCACTAGGCTGATACTATGTAGGAGGGACTGTCCTGTGAAGAGAGGTTGAATAGATTAAGCTTGTATATATTGGAGTATAGAAGAATAAGATTCGACCATATTGAAATATACATGATTCCAAGGAGAATAAAAGCAAGAACTGTGGATGCTGGTAACCAGAAACAAAAACAGAAATTGCTGGAGAAACTCATCGTTCTGGCAGTATTTGTGGAGAGAGAAAGACAGAGTTAACATTTTGAGTCCAGTAATCCTCTTTCAGATTCTTAAGAGATTAGACATGGTCAACGTAGAAAGTTTCTTTCCCTTTGTCGAAGGATCTAGGACCAAAAGGCATAATCTCAGAATAATTTAAAATACAAATGAGGAGGAATTTCATCTGCAGTAAATATAAAATTCCTTATAGCCAAATCTGGATAATTAAATATTCAGATTTCAAGGAGACAGATTTTTAATCAGTAAGTGAATGAATGGGGAAGAGGCAGGAAAGTGGAGATGAGAATTATCAGTGGGTTTTATGGTTCTGAACGCATTGATTATAAAGAAAAATGATATCGTTGCCTGCAGACCCTCCATGGGCTCTGTCCAGTCGACCTCTGTCATCTTCTATATGCCAGCTCACAGCCAAGACTCTACTTTCTGGGCCATGTTCCCCAATGCAGTGGCTTGAACTCACCACCGTCTTCTCAAGGGCAACTAGAAATGGACAAAAGAAGTTGGCCAATCAGCAATGCACACAATCCTTGAACAAATAAAGAAAAGGTTGACAGAGCTTTCCAACATTTAATCCCTATGTTCCAGAACTTTGTTCCCTATCACTTGCCTTCAGAGGCATTTGCTGGGCCACTTTACCTTGTTAATGGCATCAGATTCACTCACTTTATTGCCAAGTCAGTTTTTTATATATAATATCAATGCGTTCGGGACCATAAAACCCATTGATAATCCTCAACTCCACTTTCCTGCCTCTTCCCCATTCATTCACTTACTGACTAAAAATCTGTCTTCTTGAACTCTGAATATTTTAATTATCCAGATTCTGCTGTAAGGAACTTTAGATTCACTGCAGATGGAATTCCTCTTTATTTGTATTTTAAATTATTCTGAGATTTTGGACATAATCAGATGATTGATGTGTTTTTTTTCAAATAATTTTATTGAATTAGACATGTTTGCTTTTAACATGGTTCAGTAAAATAGTTCACGCTTAAGGCACCATTGTAGAGAAATGTTATGAATTCCAAAGAGATGGAAATAATCTTTAGCTGAACAAAACACGTACAGACAGGCAGTGTGAATGGTACTGAAATAATAAAAGCATGAATCAAGTAGAAATCTGTTGTAGCTTGACATTCTTCTTTTACTACACAGGCTGTATAGGACATTTAAGGACAGCAAATATCTCTACATGCTAATGGAGGCTTGTCTTGGTGGAGAGCTGTGGACAATACTCAGGGACAGGTAAGGAGTTGAAAAGGTTACTTCTTTTCAAGTTCACTTCCTTTCAAAAAAGTTTGTTTTTGCATTGACCCACTGCGCAGCATTTACCAAAAGAGCTGGTGTTTTCAAAATTGGTGGTATGACCGACTTTTCAGTGAAAGTGGGTAGTACTGTTAGCCCTGAGTCAGGACATTGTGAGTTGGAATGCAGAGCGATTGTTGTTGTAGTAGAAATGCTACTGGAAACTCCAGAGGGACAGGATGATGCTCTGAAAACATGGGTTCAAATGCCAAAATAGCAGTTGGTGCAATTTAAATGTCAATGAATGATTTGGAATCTGGCTAAGTTGTTGTAGGGGATTCTGAGGGACAGGATTTACATGCATTTGGAAAGGTAAGGACTGATTAGGTATAGTTAACATGGCTCTGTGCGTGGGAAATGCTTGACTAACTTGATTGAGGTTTTTTGAAGAAGTAACAAAGAAGATTGATGAAGGCAGAGCGGTAGACTTTGTCTATACAGACTTCAGGAAGGCATTTGACAAGTTTCACATGGTAGACTGTTTAGTAAGGTTCAATCACATGGAATCCAGGTGGAGCTAGCCAATTAGATACAAAATTGGCTTGAAGGTAGGAGACAAAGGTGGTGGTGGAGGGTTATTTTTCAGACTGGAGGCCTTTGACCAGTGGTGTGCCGCAAGGATCAGTGGTGGGTCCACTGCTTTTCGTCATTTAAATAAATGATTTAGATGTGAATATAGAAGGTATGGTTAGTAAGTTTGCAGATGACACCAAAAATTGGTTGAGCAATAGTCAGTGAAGAAGGTTATCTCAGACTACCACAGGACCTTGATCAGATGGGCCGATAGGCTGAGGATTGGCAGGTAGAGTTTAATTTAGATAAATGCGAGGTCCTGCAAACCAAGGCAGGACTTAATGGTAGGGCCCTGGGGAGTGTTGCCAAACAAAGCGACCTACGGGTACAGGTGCATAGTTCCTTGAAAGTGGCGTTGCAGGTAGACAGGGTGGTGAAGAAGACATTTGGCACGCTTACCATCATTGGTATGCTGAGTATAGGAACAAAAACAGAAATTACTGGAAAAGCTCATCAGGACTGGCAGCATCTGTGGAGAGAAATCAGAGTTAATGTTTCGTGTCAAGTAACACTTCCTCGGAACTATTGAATATTGGAGTTGGGATGTCATGTTATGGCTGTACAGGACATTGGTGAGGCCACTTTTAGAATATTGTACTCAATTCTGGTTTCCCTGCTAAAGGAAAGATGTTGTTAATCATGAAAGGGAGCAGAAACGATTTACGAGGATGTTGCTGGGGTTGCAGGTTTTTTGCTATAGGGAGAGGCTGAATAGGCTGGGGTTATTTTCCCTGGAGAGTCAGGGGCTGAAGAGTGACATTACAGAGGTTTATAAAATCATGAGGGACATGGATAGGGTGAGTAGCCAAGGTCTTTTTCCCAGGGTAGCGAGGGTCCGAAAGTAGAGGTTATAGGTTTAAGGTGAAAGGGGCATGATTTAAAAAGGACCTGAAGAGCAACTTTTTCACACAGAGGATGGTGCATGTATGGAACAAGCTGCCAGAGGAAGTGGTGGAGGCTGGTACAATCTGAATGGGTACATGAATAGGAAAGCTTTAGAGGGATATGGACCAAATGCTGGCAAATCGGTCCAGATTAATATCTGGTCAGCATGGGCAAGTTGGACCGAATGTTTCCCTGCTGTACAACTCTATAACTCTATGACTATAGGTCTGTGACACAATGCATCTTCATGATAGTCAATTTTTTTCTGACCTGTGTGTGCACCTGCCCTCTCACTTCCCACTACGCACTCTCCCAAAGCATCCTCTATCCCTCACTGTCACTCCTCTGCACTCTCACGCCCCTCACTCTCACTCCTCTACACTCTCACTCCCCCTTACTCTCACTGCCCCTCAATACCTGCGCCACTCTCACCCCCACACTC